TTCCACTTCCAGCGTTTCTCGAAGTGCAGATCGAGGTATCGACTAGGCGACTGAACTAAATCAACTTAGCAAAGTAGGTTCAAATATTTTTTATATAATGTATAAACCAAAGATTATTGATATAGCCTCAAAGAAGACAAAAGCATCTTTAGTTGTAGTACTGAGGACGTTGGATAAAATCCAGTGGATTTGTGAATTTTTAAGTGAAACGCCGGACATCGACGAGAGAAAAAAACCACCGGCTCCGGCTGGTCCAGTCAAAAAAATGTATATTTTTCTGTATGCTTGTAAAAAAAAGATGGCAATCTTTATTGGAGGCATCTTTTCGTTTTTTCACTTTTTATATATTATTCTCACTTAATATGACCTTGCAATTTTTTTTTTATAGTAGGTAAAAAAAACAAATCGGCAGATATATAATAGTCTAGATAGTAAAAAGTCTGTCGTGTTGATAGTACCCTTTGAACGCACTTTGAACCCTGATGATGATCTCAATAAAGATCGAAATGTTGGCACGATAAAGAAAATGTTTTTCTGAAACCTACGTCACACCAGACCGCATCTCACGATCTCCGAATAATAAAAGCAGAAAACTTTTTTTAAATAGCATATATTAGCTCGATATTTTTCTCTGTTCCTTGAGCTCTTGGTAAGCTGGATAAGTTTCTAATATTTTACTACCTAGTTTTACCAAAAACAGTTTCAGTGAAATTAGTGTTCCTTCATCTATACCCTCCCATTGTTAATTTATCCTTAGCTAGACTCAGCCTATAATAAGCATCCATTTATTTGCATTCTCTGGCCACTTGAGTAAGTTGTTTGGTAATGCCATGTTTCCCATACATTTGAAGTTAGGTTTGATTACTCAATATTCAACTTTATCTCGTTCAGATTAGGTTCCACAAACTTTTCGAACGAGAATATCAACTCTAGGGCTTGCAGACTTGATTATAATTGTAATACATCATCTGCATAAACTACAATTTTTGATCGTAATTCCACCGAGCCAATACCTGCCCCATCTAATATTCCAGGTCGTTACCGTTGATAAATGCTCATACCAAATTGTTTGGAAACCGGCCAAATCTAGACCGACATCATATTAAATGCAATTATTTTCCCAGTTACCCTAGCCCGACGTAAATCAAAGTCGTACTCAAAAATACATTTTTCTCTTTAATTTATTGATATTTGCAACTGTGGTTTATGAAATTTATAACAAGCAAATCTGCTCGATAATGCTTGTCGAAGTGAAAGCTATGAACAAGGTCGTCCCTTAGGTGCCATACATCCATCATACTCATACTGTGTTAGGTACCAACTTTGAACTGTATTGTTTAACAATTTAGTTAACATAACCACCCATTGAAACCAATATATTTCAACTAATTTTACAGTTTTCCTGCAATGATGTTTTTTATTCGTTCATGTCTTGTATAATGACGTTTGGTTTGCAAATATTAAATAATATTAAAAATAAGGTGTGGTGTTTGGGTTTAGAAAAACATTTTCTTTATCGTGTCAACGTTTCGATCTTTATTGAGATCATCTTCATGGCCTGGGACTTATAAACATTGTTTAAATTTTACAAATACATATAGATGAAAAAAAGGAAATTATACAATGCTAGAAAATTTTAGATTAAAAAATATGAATTTAGACAATGCTAGAAAATTTTAGATTAAAAAATATGAATTTAGACAATGCTAGAAAATTTTAGATTAAAAAAAATGAATTTATACAATGCTAGAAAATTTTAGATTAAAAAAAGGAATTTAGACAATGCTAGAAAATTTTAGATTAAAAAATATGAATTTATACAATGCTAGAAAATTTTAGATTAAAAAAATAATAATATTAAAAATAATATATACTTTGATATAGGGTTGTTTTTTAATTATTGATCACTGATTTATACAGAGTGATAGTCCTACGGCGAAGTTCGCCAGATTTCTTCTACACCTCAAATGCAGCATAAAGGTTTCTATAAAACAAAGAAAGAAAACACATAAAAAAGAGAAATAAACATAGCGAACAACCAAACCAGAAAAGCTGGACAAAAATTTACGCTAAACACAAAGTTGTCTGAAAGTAAAAATAGTATTATTCATTTCTCGTGATAAGCATCTACGAACGAAACCACAAACAAAAAAAGATCGTACTTTGATCTTATTCAAGTGTTTATCTAGTATTTAGGTTTAGCTCTGAATAAAATGACAACCTAAAAAAAAATAATATTCCGAGAGGAAGACAAATGATAAAGGTCCGTTTGAAATGAATTAATTTGAAATAATGTAAACAACAGACGACTTCCTTTTAGCGATAATCTCTTTAGAACTAGTTATAGTCAAAGGTCTTTCGTCGACATCAACAATGCCTCGTCTAATCCACGATAAAAAAAAATTATTATCTCATTTTACCTGGCAAAATAAAAAAAGTATGCCGTATTTGGAACCAAAAGTTGGAAGCCGAGTTATCGACCAGATTTTCAAAGACTACAGAAACCAAACAAAAGCCAGGCTACTGATGTGTGTTGGCCAGGGGAAAAATTAATACGATTAAGACTGACGACAGAAGTTATCGAAGTACCTTCACAATTAAAAAGCACTTTTTGTCTTTTATTTTATAGTTTTTACGTAAAACAAGCCAAATAGAAGTTTAACAGCCATATTTTCAAAATAATGTATGGTTTATTTTTACATTTTAAATTTAATGGCCTATCAAACAGTTTTGAAAAACGGAATAGATGCTTGTTTTTTAAAAAGGATTTTCACTAATAAAACAAAAAATAATTATTGATTTGTTTTCTGTTTGTTGTTAACGGAGGTGATTGTAATCGACGGATAAAATAAACATTTCTTTTCTGTCTGTTAGACAATTTCAATTTATACTGACATGTATGTGTGGTAAATAAGAGAAACAAACAGATCGCACATTAAATTTTTTAAATTTGCGTTTCCTTATTTTTAAAATTGCTTTGCACTTCAACCTCCAGAAAGAATCTACTAGTTGCCAGACAGGCCATTTGCCTATGACATCCTCTGTACCCCAAACCCGAATATTTGCCAGGAGAAATGAGAGGAAAGTTCAAAATAAATTGCAGTTAAATTTACATTTTTAGCTTTCGATTAGCGTCGTATTGTGAGAGAGAAATAGTATTCTAATACCCGAAATGCAAATCATACAAATTGAAAAGGAAAATGAAGAATGAGAACATTACTATATCAATTTAATTTCGTGAAAACTTCAATATTCGGTTCGAAAATCAATTTTTGCACTTTACTATGTTGTAGCCCGATAGAAAATTTATTAAAATCTTGTAACCACTGCTGTTTCATGTCTAGATATAGACTTTTCTCTTTAATTACAATATATATTCAATCGGGCTGTTGCTCTATAAAAAATAATAAACAAATAAATGAATTATAGTTATTTATTTCATACAATTGACAGAAATAATCGAAAAGTTAAAATGTTTAGATAAACTTTGTACTCCTGTCCTCAAGAAACGGAAACAGCGTGATTCTTTTTATTAAAAGATAATGGTTTAAAAAACGTGTATTTTATAATCTGCAAAAGTGCACTACAAAGTTCAAAATAGCTTCTTGATTCAACAAAAACTACAATAGTAGCTGCGCATAACAAAAAAAAAAAAAAAACAATGTAGATAAACCAATATTTTTTAGGTTATACAGAATATATTTTCTATTTCTTAGGTTCTGCAGGATGATGAAGCTTCAATGTGGTCATTTGTAATCATTTTGGTATGCCACATTTATGCTCACAGTTAGGATGAGGATTAAGGTCAGGTTAGGTAGAGGTAGAGATTGGGTTAGGTTAAGCAGGGTTAGGTTAATTTTAAGTTATAGTTAGACTAGGATTAGATTTATATTAGGGCTAGAATTAATGTTTGGTTGGGAGTGGATAGGATTACAATTAGGAACAGTTAGTTTGGTACTAGTCTCTTCTGTTATTTTGTTCATCCATTTTGAGGATGGTGTAATTGTTCCGTTTAACAATCATAAATTCCAACCATTTGCAATAAGATATAAGATCAGTAAAGCTAAATGTAATAACTTCACCCAGATGTATTTCAGTACACAAGAGATACCTAAAACGAAGACATAAAATAGCCTATCAAATAAAAGTGTACCGTCAATCTGATTTCAACACACCTAAAATAATCAGTAATCATTACAGATCACCCCACGACCAATTTGCGTGTATGGTTGTGAAATTTACCAAATTGCATCTCTGTAAATAATAAAGAAACATTGCAAAATTGAATACTTCAAGTTATAGCAAGCTGCATGGTCATTGGATACAAGGAATTTTAGAACTATCACACCACTGACCTCAAGAGAAAATATCCCAATTCAATATCTGAAATAACTTCACTAGTTTCGTGGTCCGCTTGACCAATTAATATCTTACAATTAATTAAGATTGTTAGTTGAGATAAAATAAGTCATGAGTTCGAATCCCGCTCATGACACTGACTCTTTTGTCTCAACCAATACCTTACATAAAGATTTACTAATTGAAAGAGGTTATTTGGTCAATCGGACCACGAAATCTAATGGATTTAATAAGCAAAATGAAGTATATCTTCACTAATGCTTTCCATGGCCATTTCATTTGTCGCCGAGAATCAAATAGATTACATGACATTTGAAAAATGCCAAAAAGGAGGGAAAATTCAAAAGGTGGAGTTGAGATGGGAAGTTAGTGTCCGAGTGGATCGAGGTCACGATAGCTCAAGTGGTAGAGCAGCGGCGTATCTAGCCGAAGATTGTGGGTTCAAATCCCGCACGTGACACTGACTTTTTTATCTCAACTAAAAACCTTAATTATCTGAAGTAACATTTATCCAAATTTATTTCTGAGACATTTTGAAATGCTCCCTCCAACCCAAGGAACCATATGAATGTTGGCACTTCCACAAAGAAACTATAATTTAAAAAATTCAATCCCTTGTTAATATGATTTCTTTTTTGTAGATGTCACAAGCCTCGGGATTCCCTGTTTTCATGGTCTTCTGGATTCACAAATTTCACAGGACTCGTCAACTGGGCCTTCCTGCTTCTTTCGATGGGAGGCCTTAGGCTTCTACTGGAAAATTTAATAAAGTATTTTAGTTTTATTTGTAAATAATTTTCACCAATGCACCATCACTATTTATGATTTAATCTAGATATGGAATTCGAGTGGATCCTGAACAGTGGCTGATTGTTCTCACAGGAAGCGATGAAGGAGGACCTGAACATGCTTCTTTGTATCTTTTAGCCTGTACGTAGGTTTGGTGTCCATTTAATTTGAAATCACATATAACTTTCCGATGGTATAAAATAATAATTTACATATTTTAATTTTTGAGAAGTAATTTTCCTCCAAGTAATTTTTTAAAAATGTAAATTCAGCAAAACATAATAGTTTAATAAATATTTTAACAGTTAAAATAACTGTGTAAGATGGTTTTAAAAGAAAGGAGATAGAAACAAAGGTAATTTTATATTTGCTGGAAGGGGATCTTGCATATTTCTATTTTATATTTCAGTTTTGCTCATAAATGTATATTCAGAAACTTCCCACACAGATTATCATATTCCATTTATACTTAAAACTATTGGCATTTTTACGGCTCAAACTTCAAAGCTAGTAGTCAGACATCACTTCTAAAATTAAAATATTCAAATTTTAAAACTGTTTATTTCCTCATCATGCAAATAAAACCTACAGTAAAACTAGCTGAAATTATCATATAGTTTGTATTTCTGTTTTATACATGTAACAATCTTTTATTTATTATTATTAATTATAGATTCAATTGTGCCAATCATCTTTGCCCTCTTCATTGAGAAAGGTTTGGCTGAGGTAACTATGATTTATTTATTGAATATCCTTTCTTATAATTACAAACAGCTTATAATTTTAAAAATTTAATAAGCACCAAATGATAATAAATATTGACTCACGGCAAATTGGGAGATAAGCACAATAAAAAGTAATAACTGTTATCTCACAGTGACAAATATAGAACAGTAAATGTCCCGTCAGGGTAATAATGAATGACATTTAAATTTTAGAAAACGTATATTGCCATTCATTTTGTATATTTAGAAAAACAGCCTTGGATGTTTTCAATGCAGACTAGGATAATTACTTTTGGCAGAACAATTACCTTGGGTCCGTTCAGCCTTGAAAAATTCACCAGCCAACTGATCACTTTTCAAATTTTATTAGTGTGTTAACCGTTCATATTGTTGTACTGTTTCATGATGTAACAATTGACTGGGTACAAATCTTGTATTTCCATTAAAAAAAATGTATTTCAGTTTAGTGCTGTTTGACAAAGAAAGTTCAGTAATAATTTAAACTTACGGACCTAGATATTGAAAGCCCCAGTAAAAAATAATAATAATAATGTTATTTTTTTGCCCTAATGTCAAACTATTTTTTTTTTTATATGAAGTCCATCACAAAAATTTGAGATAAATTGATTAATTTTGTGGCAATCAACAACACACATAATGAAAAATTCTTTAAAAAAACAAAAAACATTCAATTTGAAGTATAACATATTTTTTATAAATGTGTGTGGATAAAAACATAATTTTTTTTAGGGCATACTCCATGCTAAGGTTGGGATGCCGTCTCACATTGTTAATCTCAGCATCCTAGTGATGTTACCAATGATTATTATTTACATCAAATCAGCAGAGTTTAGTTTAAGTAAGTTTCTATTAAAATAATCTTTTGGGTAGTTAAACACATTATTTATTTGTTGCATAACAGGCACTTATAAATACAGCTATAAGTACTCATTTTATTTATACATGAAAAATTACTGTATCTTACTTTTATTCATACTAAAAGACATTAATTGTTACAGTGGGGGCTTCGACTGTGACATTTTTGTATTCTGTCCTTTTTTTAAAATTATGGTCTTACGTGCAAGTGAATTTATGGTGCAGACATGCAAGGCCTTTGTCAAATTCGAGTCACATTAGAAGGCAAAGCATAACTCTTGCGACGTTAGCTCTAGGTACAGGTATGTGTTAATATTTATATGCAAAAGAAACAATTTTTAAAAGTACAATAGAAAAATAAAAACTTTTATTGTTTACAATTTTCATATATACGACAGGCTAATGTACGTTCTTTTTCAGATGGTGACAAAGTAGGTAATAATAATGTACCAAAAGAAAATGAAAATATTGTTAAGTACCCTGACAATTTGACCCTCAAGGATCTGTTGTATTTCATTTTTGCACCTACGCTCTGTTATGAGCTTAATTTTCCTAAAACAGATCGAATAAGAAAAAGGTACAGTACAATTATTATTATTATTTTTCAATTAATTAAGGTTTTTAATTGAGATAAAAAAGTCAATGGTACGAGCGGGATTTGAACCCACGATCTTCGGCTAGATACGCTGCTGCTCTACCACTTGAGCTATCGTGACCTCGATCCACTCGGACACTAACTTCCCATCTCAACCCCACCTTTTGAATTTTCCCTCCTTTTTGCCATTTTTCAATTGGTCAAGTGGACCAAGAAATTAGTGAAATTATTTTTATTTATTTTTTTGTTAATGAACACAAAACATTTTTGTACTCTTTTTCAACAGATTTCTTTTGAAAAGACTTTTAGAAGTAGTCATACTTCTTCAATTGATTTTATGCCTATTCCAACAGTGGATTATCCCAAGTGTAAAGAATTCGCTTATCCCATTTTCCGTATGTTTAATCTTTCAAGAGTTGAATTTATTATTTTAATCAGTTCACATTTTTCTAATGTTAAATTTTTTATTCTCCAGAATATGGATGTTGTGAAGGCAACTGAAAGACTTCTTAAGTTAGCTGTGGGTTTGATTAAATTAATCTTTTATACCCAATTTACAACATATCATTTTTCCAGATTCCTAATCATTTGGTGTGGCTTACTTTTTTTTATCTTTCGTTCCATTCTTTTCTAAACTTGATGGGCGAATTGCTTCACTTTGCCGACAGAAACTTTTATTGTGACTGGTGGAATTCAAACAACATAGATGTTTTCTGGAGGTCTTGGAATATGCCTGTGCACAGATGGGCTGTGAGGTGAAAGCTGCAAATATACATTCCTTGTAATACTTTTTTTTACCATGATCTGCTTATTTTTAAAGTTTTATTGATTTTATTTAGGCATTTATATGTTCCACTGGTGGAACAAGGTTATAGCAAAACATTGGCAAGCACTGCAGTTTTCTTCATTAGCGCGTTCTTTCATGAATATCTTGTCAGTGTACCACTGAGGACTTTCAAGATATGGGCTTTTACGGGGATGATGGGTCAAGTAAGTATTTTTAATTGAGGTTTTGTTTCGGTAAATATTTGACTGGAATTGTTTGTCGGTTCATAAATGAACAAATTACTGCTTACAATTACTACTACTTCTCTGATGGTTTCAAAGTGCTAGTAGCAGGCTGAGTTTCTAACTCCTGGGATTGGAAAAGCCAACGCCAGAAGGATACACACAGAAACCCTTAACAAAGCGATGGAATCTGATGAAAATCTTAACAGGTCTAGATTCTAGATATTAATGGAGATTGCACAGTAGACCAATATTGATCGTGGTGCATAAGGCCATAAATCAAGGTCATAAATAAAGGCCAAATCCTTTTAACTTAACTACTAGTACAACTACTGAGATTTGTGCTTAGCATTAAATACGATGGTTTAGGGTGTAAAACTTGACTTTTCATCCTGATCAGTGGTTGGATACACAGCATCCTGGCATTTTCACTCAATGTCCAGAGCAATAGAGAAAAACCATTAAAAATTTATTTAAGGGACAATTAATATTTACTAATATTTGAGAACTCTTTACATAAATTGCAATAGCCAACTCAGGAAACATGAATAATTTTTATTTGAATTAGAAAAACCATTTAGCTACAACCCCCAAATCAGTCAGTAATTAGGATTGACTGGAAAAGCTCACATAACTCATTCTGATTTCATTCGCACTTGTCGATTATAAATCATTCTTACAGCAAAACAAAGTCAGCCAAATTTGGGTTGCCGTAGGACAATATGTTCCTTCCATGTTTGCTGTCAACGACAACATCCAATACTTTGCAAAAAGGGTCCAGTGGAGAAGCTTGCCAAGATACCCAACATTAAATTAAGCGATTCACTACAACTGAGAGCTACTGTGGTTTTTTCTTTTTTTTTAAGACAGGACCATTCTCCAAAACCCCAACCACGACTATTCACTGTGTACGTAATTGTCAGCCATTACTCATCAGAAGTGTTTCTGCGACGATTAAGGAGGCGTTGTCCCTTAGCAATCTGTACAAAGTCATTAATACATATTAAAAACAACAGAGGGCTAAGTCTAGCACCCTATGGTACTCTGTACTTGATTGGGATCTTGGAAGATGTGATTCTCATGTCTTGACGTTTGATTCTGCACATATAATACTGCATGTAGTACATGCGCAAGTAGAATTCAGCTTATCAATCAATCAATATAACCTCTGTGAATTGGTGAACTGTTGTGTCTAATAAATTTCAATGTAAATTCACCAATCAGTTTTAAGTTACTGGGTTACAATTTACAGTATGGAATTTATTGAAAATTCTTATATATTTCTTCAAATTATTGTTGAAATTTGTAAGGCTGTGTTATTTTATATTATTTCTTTATTCTTTTAAAGATTCCACTATCGATGTTTTGCCATTGGGTTGAAAAGAATTTTGGCTGCCGGTGGAGTAATATGATAGTTTGGGCGTCCTTGATACTCGGCCAACCGCTGTGCATTATGATGTACTATCACGACTACGTTATTACACATTTTGGAGAATCGCTTATAGATCGCTACGCTGAAGTTTGATGCCAAAGTCTCTTCCTTGGAATCCATCACCGTTTGGCACTTCACCAAATATTTCCATTGTATTTATACAAACTGCAGTCTTAATTAGTACTTTTCTAAAATTTTATTTATATGTATAAAGTTTCAATTTAAAAAAGCCCTTGCAGTATCGAACTTAATATTGTACAATACCAATGTTGTGATATTTAGTTTAATTAAAACATACCGGTAATTTAGTGTACTACTAGTAATTAAATTAATTGCTCACTATAGTTTTGTTATTTATGTATTTAAGTAATACTAATTGTACACCTAATTTGATAATAATTTTTATAGATTTATAGTTTTGAGTGTTAAATATTAAATGTATACATCACAAAAGATTTTCTATATCATCGGTGTAACTGTTTGATTAATTGATTAGTTTTTAAGGTGTTGTACTTATTGATCAGTGTTCATTTTAAATCGTGTTGATTTATCCATGTGCCCATCATTGTAAAAAAAACCTTTGTGCCATATTGAATGTATTATGACCAATGTTTTTTCCTATGATCAAATTAGTCTAAGTCAAACATAAATGATCGAACAAATAATTTAAAATGTATGAAAAATTGCTGATACAAAAAATAAATATGAATTTTGTTATTTATTTTTTCAATTTTTTGTTTTATTTACCATAAGTTATGTCCTATTTTTAAATTTTAATTAAAAGATGGATTGATCCATAAAGGCACGCACACCTTTGGAAATGTAAATAGAGTTGAGCCTTTTTTTTTATGGCAAGTTGTCATCAAAGATTATAAATAATTAATGTTTTTAGTTGAGATAAAAAAGTCAATGTCACAAGCGGGATTCGAGCCCACGACCTTCGGCTAGATACGCTGCTGCTCTACCACTTGAGCTGTCGTGACATCGATCCACTCACACACTTACTTCCCATCTCAACCCCACATTTTGAATTTTCCCTCCTTTTTGCAATTTTTCAATTTTTGAATAAGTTAAAATGAGCTCTCCATGGCCATTTCAATTGTAGCCGAGAATCAAATAGATTACACGATATTTGAAAAATGGCAAAAAGGAGGTAAAATTTGAAAGGTTGGATTGATATGGGAAGATGGTGTCAGAGTGGATGGAAGTCTCGATAGTGGTAGAGTAGCGGCATATCTTGCTGAAGGTCGTGGGTTTGAATCCCGCTCGTGCCATTGACTTTTTTATCTCAACTAAAAACCTTAATTAATTGAAAGATATTAATTTATCAAGCGGACCACAAAAACTAGTGAATTGAAAGATTACAAAATTAATTTCAGCGCAAATGCATTTTGTATAATCTTGGACCTTAAATTATTTTTATACCCGAAATTTTCTATTTATTATTCTAATTAATTGTTTTTGTGGTATATTTATGTTTACAATCACCTGCTTTGTTTCTGAGTCTATCATATGCATTTCAGTCAATGCCCAATATTAAAAGTCACAACCATGGAACTCTAAATGATTGTAAAAGTCTACATAACCATTCTAGATATTGATTACACCTAAAAACGCACCACTGAAGACGGTGGGAAGTTGAAACTCATTGTCAAAGACCAGGACTCGAGACCAGGTCTAAACTTGCTCAAGCATCTACACATATAAGCAAGACTCGAGTTAGCATGGAGAAACATTTCCTGTGACATCATGGCCGTGAGATACATAGCTGCAAGTGGGATTTCTGCTTGCATGGTTTTGAAAATCAAAGCAGAAATCGAAACGGCAAACCAGTAAGAAACGTAAGGAGAGCCACCGTTTTTCTTACTCTTAACTTTATTTGTTCTCCTGATTATTGATTTTTTTCAAAATCACCCACGGACACGTTTTTTAGCGAGTACGTTGATCGCTACTCGTTTCCCGGAACAATTTGGTAAACGGATCAGTAAGGTCCCATAAACACGATGAAGTATGGTAATATTCTACATGAAACAACACTTTTTCGTTGGACTGCATTCTCGGCCGAAAAAATGTACAAAAAATAGATCAAGTGAATTGGTGTTGTATCAGTTAATAGTGGAGTTCGTGTGTGCTAGCTGGACTAGTAGTGCACACTATGCAATGTTGCGCAACCTTACCTTATGTTGGACTCATTAATTTCCGATGGGAGATGTTCCGCGATTTTTGTCTCAGAATGGTCTTGAGACCATCTAAAATCGACATAATCCGCCCATAGACGCTAGACCAGGTCTAGAGACCAAAATTGCGAGACCCGTTCTACCAGTGTGTACTAGCATGGCCGGGTTCACGCCTGAGCGGTAAAATATGTATTGCAGACGCATTAGTTACACGATTTTTAACCTAGGATAAGTGAGGTTCATACCGCAGCGATAAGACATGAGCCAGCTAGACAATTCCATACTCTTTCAATTTGCCATCTTCACCCTTCGCAATATCGTACGACATTGAAGGAACTGACAAGCAGGCCGAGTCTCTTGATAAACGTATCTTACGACGCATGTCACAATCAGACACGTGTGAACTATATTTGACGTTACATCACGTTTTTTTATAGGTCTGACCGTTTCGTATATCGCAAGACAATGATCTTATATCGCTTACGACCTAAAGATGTGTACGGTATAGCTCTGGTATGAACGCTACAAGAGTTCATCAGTGATACAAGCCTGGAGTGAACCCTAAACATGCCTTGACCAAGCAAACCAGCTAGACAGGCAGACCACAATTACCATAAATAACCACTTTCATCCCCTTGCATCCCCCGTAAAGAAATTTCATAATCACCTTCTTTACTATAAATTACAATGGCATTAATTATATATTAATTATTAAATCTTTGTTGTCTAATGTAGTATTAAATTCATATATAGATGTGTAGTCCTGGGGCATATTATACTGCGCCCTTTAAGAGCTATTGATTCCCCCGTGCTGTGCATAAAGCAAGCGTTAAAAACCTAGTTTATGAAGGACTTGATTGGTTAGTAGCTCCCGGTTTCAGTAGTTGAATCTTTTCTATGGTTAAGTTGATATCCCAAAACACTTCCTCCTTCGGACAAGTGTAGCACCACAGTTTGTTAGAGGTGTATTGGTGTCTTCTCTGCTGCTTTGCATAATCTGCACATGCCGGGTTGCCACTTTTTCAACCAAGGTTCTAGGTGGGTAAGGTGAGCCTTTAAGGACCGATGTGAGAGGACGGGGTCTTTATCAGAAGACAGGATAGCAGATCGTCTGCGAATGTGTAGATGCATGTGTCGAATGGGTAGGTAAGCAGTGTACATAGAGTACAGAATGAGACCAACGATACTACCCTGTGGGACTCCAAGCTTATCAGGATAGAAGTCAGAGGTGGATGTTCCCTGGCTGACTTGAAAGAATCGGTGAGTCAGGTAAGAGCAGAGGATAAGGAAGTAGGTGAAGTTTTGAGCTTCTACAGCAAACCCGGATGTTTCTAAATTTGATTTAATATTTCAAATATTGCCATAAATTCATCCCCGCTTGCCAAATCTATCTTTGATACATTTAAAATAAAGGGACAATTTTAATATTTTATAATTAATTAAATAAATCAAATTGTTTTCAAACAACATAAATCTACAAGCACTCTTCGTTTGATTCAAACGCCTTATTGTCAAATAGGCAAAACGCATTACGTAACGGTTTGCAGTATAGTATAACTTTTCTTAGAAAGGGACTTCATTTTGGTAGATTTATTTTTCAATCATTCATCCCTAGATTTTAATTTTTATAGAAATGTACATATTTCTGCTGTTTCCGGATTTATTCACATTTCTAAATTGAAATATTGTGGTTTTATTTTGATAATTTTAAAGTTGGCTATGTAAAAAGGTTAACCCTATTATTAAGTTCACTAATTTCGTGGTCCGCTTGATTAATTAATTAAGGTTTTTAGTTGAGATAAAAAAGTCAATGGCACGAGCGGGATTCGAACACACGACATTTGAAAAATTGCAAAAAGGAGGGAAAATTCAAAAGGTGGGGTTGATATGGGAAGTTAGTGTCCGAGTGGGTCGAGGTCAAGATAGCTCAAGTGGTAGAGCAGCGGCGTATCTAGCCGAAGGTCGTGGGTTCGAATCCCGCTCGTGCCATTGACTTTTTTTATCTCAACTAAAAACCTTAATTAATTGTAACCTATTATTAAGATTTTTTTGTGATTTGTCTATAAAAGTCTATAAAAATAAAACGATTTTCAATCTAGTATGAATCTAAGTTAAAATATTTTACGTTCTCTTATACAATACTCGACTGGCCTTTTTAATTTAGGGAAAACTTTTGCTGTTGGCCATCGATTTTTCCACAATGTTTACCTTGTTGCATAATCAAGAAGGAATTAGGTCAGTATTTTTATAAATATGACATAACCTGTTATTGTAAACGTGACAGGTGAGGTGAATTCAATCACATTTTTTCAGATGCACCCGACTCACCGAAAATCACAGCTTTTTTTAGCGAACGAAGTTTATATTCGAATATTTTTATAGTCCACGGGCTATATTTAGTCAATATTGTTTCACGAGGGTTTCTTCCATTACATAAGATGATGATCAAATTTAGAAAAAGGATTATTTCTGCGTACTTTACGGCAATGAAAGTACCGTAGGAATTAAGTCGTGTTTTCCTGAGCAACAGTTTAAAATTGTATAATTACAGAGAAAAAAGGCAAGTGTTACTTTTGTCAAAAACCGTTTCATCACGTTTTTATTATTTCAATAAAAACCGATAAAAAGTATAAATCATCATCACATATGCATTAGGAATGTGTGGTGATTATTGACCGTTAGTCTGTGATTATTTGAAAATCGTGAGATGCGGTCTGGTGTGAAGTAGGTTTTAGAAAAACATTTTCTTTATCGTGCCAACGTTGCGATCTTCATTGAGATCTTCAGGACTCAAAGTGTTTGTTTTCTGCGTAATGGTGCCATTCTTGCGTGTCGTTTGACTCTCAATGACACAATTACACAGAAAACAAACACTTTGAGCTCTGAAGATGATCTCAATAAAGATCGAAACGTTGGCACGATAAAGAAAATGTTTTTCTAAAACCTACACATCAGAACCGCATCTCACGATTTCCAAATAATCATATGCATTAGGGATGGATATGAATTGAGGCCAAATTTTTGTTACATTGCACATTTAGCTTGCTTGGGTGCACCCTCTATACCCTATCAGGATAATAACTTATTATGTATTGCAATTTTGTTATTTTTAATTTTATGTTTTACACAAAATTGCATATTTTTAATTATTTATTTTTGTCGTTCCACTCCAAGTTAAAGAACACCTTAATTTATAGGCGACTCAATGTTATCAGAGAAAAGCTGAAAAAGTACATTGTACTTTTTACGACTTGTAGTTCGGTCGTTTCCGATCATTTTGATCTGCCTATCCTCGCAGTTTTGAACAAGCAGGCGGTTTCGGCTTCTGGCCATCATCAGTTCTAAGTTTTATTTTCATGCATCAACCAAGACTACTATTGACGTCGAAGA